ACCTCGATTGCTAAGCGTGTATAAATGTATGCGAAGTCGTTCTCAAGTAGAATAGAACAATTCTATGTGCTAGTGGGTATTCATCAATACGCTTGGGTGCATGGTTAGCACAACCGCTGTTCAATAGGTGAAGGCCAATTGTGGGCTGTTCAATCTATGCGCGTTCGTATAGCGGAGAATTTTAGACCCATATCATCAAATTTACTACCTGAACTACTAGTTTTATTGCCGCTGTCGTCGTCGTCGTCGTCGTCGTCGACACATTCCACGCAAATTTGGATGATCTCTGCAGTGGGCTGTGCCCCCGGGACAGTTGCCGACATCCCCAGCTGTACATCTTCGTTTTTACATGAGCGCTTGCGCTTTCTACGACTTGCATGAAACATCCCTATTAGGAATCTGCTAAAAACGCTGAATTTCATGAAGCCGGCGGCTGTGGCGGTACCATTAACACCAGCGATCAATCGCTCACTCTTCTCTTTCTGCAACTCAGCGTCCTTAGATTCGCTCACTTATTAATCATATATGTGTAAGTAAGAGTTCACCTGTGTACCTAATCGCGCCGAATACTGCTATATGTACATTTCAGTCTCCTATCGGATGCTGATTTTAATATGTGCTAATCTTTTCATTTGTGTCCAGTTATAGGGACGTTACCAACAAACAAGATCATTGACGCAATCCTGAGTTCGCACAGTCCTTGTTCCCAGGCCGCGAGGTATCGCGGGAAAAACAGACTAGATTGAATATTTAGAAAGTTCACCGAATTCTCACGTACTTGATAAATACTGACCGTCATGAAACCTTTGTCACAGCTGCCTCAAGTAGATTTGAGGTTGTTTACCGATTTCACTTGATGCATAGTGACACGGCAAATATGGTTCTACCTCAATGACATTTTAAAATCACAAGGTACTTCACAGCACTTTACAGGTTCAGAGTTACTGGCTTCGGAAGATAGTTATTACCCGAAGTGAAACTATTCTGTTTTATTTTATACTGTACGTGTAGTAATCAAACGTTTTGTTGCAGAAATAAGTGTTGCCTTCTTTGTTAATCAAAAATGACGGGCGACAGTACCTCACGAAAGGTCTAGTGAATATTACAGCACTTTTGTGCTGTCTACCAACAAGGTAACAGGATCACTTTTGAGAAGAGAAATCAAGGTCGCTTATAACAATTCGGTGTACCTCAGTAGATGACCTTGTACAATAACGTCAGAACTGCAGGAATTACGATTCGATCGCTATTGATAATCTTCCGTGTGTCGTCTGGTCTTGACCGAATGGCACGGGTCTTGTGAACAACTCTTTCAGCCTTACAGTTCATGTTTGCCTTATTTAAGCGATCCTGGAATTCGTCAGGCTGGTTTGGCGAACGATTTCTGGTCGATGGCCCTTTTTAAAGGGGATACAAGTGGGGTCGTCAAGTGGGAGAGGGTAGGTACTGGGGTGAGGGGAAATGCAGCCAGACCGTGCCTATCGGACCTCATGTATGTGACGGGCTCATAGGTCGAATGCGGTACGTATCTTTTTTGATTTAATAAAACCTTGAATGTCTGTTAAATATTTCAGGAAGAACCCATAGGAAATGGGAGGTACCATTCAACCGTGTCGAAATTTCAATTGTATTCTATAGAATATTGGTCTATCACCACTTTCGTCAGAATAGATCGCGTAACCTAAAGCGCATGCCGCAAAGCGTCTGAGGAGCAAATTTAAGGCAGGAACACTCACTAAAAAGCGGCATCGCAAGTCATAATTGTCTTATTTCGAGCAAAGAAGGCTACAGCTCTACTCAAAACGCTGTTTGAGTAGAGATCATCTGAAGCAAGTAATAATATTAATGAGTTGGCTGATTTCGTTTGCTTAAACCCTTAGCTACCCTTAAACGCCGACATTAACGCTAGGTTCATACGGTTGATGTTTACCAGAGGCATTTCCCGAACAGACTTGTCCAGTCTAACTGTAACACTGTCCTAAATTACCTTCAACAAAATGCACTAATTCTCTAGTCTTTTTTTTTTAACTTTTCAAGCTAAAAACGGAGTGCGTGCGGCTGAAGATTTGATCGGCTTGATTTCTACGTCGTATGCCTATACACGTATATATATATATATATATATATATATATATATATGTATATATACCAGATTTACGGCATTTACGGATGCCAGCAGGAGTCTCTTGTTTATGCAATTTCTCGTTTGGGCTCCATACTCCATTCGTACATTTTATGCATTTTTTTTTCAAACTACTCCGGTCTGTGACACTTATGTTGGCTTCCAAGTTTGCCACCAAATAGATCATGTAAAAACTATCTAATGGCGTCAGAGGCAGAGATGAGCTTTGCACTCACCTTGAGTCTTTTTTATCGTCGTTCATTTACTCGGAATCGGCAAACATCTCTAGCCAGTGGCGATTAACTGTAGACGCCTGTTGTTATTATCGTGCTTCTATATTTATAATAAGATAGTTGAAAAATTTGCATCATTTATTTACAAGAGGAGCTTAACGAATTGCTACCCGCTTCATCTACGGGCACCTTTGCCGCTACTGATAATGTAGAAAAACCTAAGCGAGCGATGGAAAAAAAATAGTCGCGATTTTTTCTGAAATCTTGTTACGGTATCATGATTTATGGTTAGATCTACTGAGGTATTTTCGAATGAACCACTATATATATCATATATCGAAAAAGGGTACCGAGACTCTTTCGGTCCTGTAAACCCATTACGTTATCGAAGTACGCAGTTTAAGAAAACAATTAAATAACATACGCGCCTCGGCAAGTATCACACTGTACATCGGCGTTTGTTATACCCATACATATATATATATATATATATATATATATACATAAGTCGTATAAAGTAAAACTCTGCTTAAAAAGACAAATATGGCTATCAAGTAAAATGTTAGGGGTGGCTAACCTTGCCCACATTTGCTACACAACCCACATTTTGCTGCTCCAACTTGAGCAAATTTTTGTTTAGCAAGGTTACATTATGACTGGAAATTAAGCCGGTTTTACTCTACAATTTTAGTCAGACATTTACAAAAATCACGCCGTAAACGTGGAAGTACAGAATAGATTCTGCCAACGTTCTGCACGACGAAGGAATTGGTAAGCCGGGGTCTCAAATACACTTGTGAACAATGATGTATGATCAAATCATCTGCGCACGCAACCTGCCTGGGTCTTTGGCCCCTCAATGGAATTAACCGACTTCGCAGTCGTCTCTTGTGATACTTTAAAGCTCAGGATGCATGGCGCACAACTTAAGTTTCGTTAATGCTCGGAACACACTTATATTAGATCGAATAAGTGAATTAACGATTTCTATTTAATCTGTCCGACGGATGTAGTACAACGACTACGTATCCAGTGGACTTTTTGTGGATTATATCGATGTAGCATTGCTAATTATAGAAACAGTAGGATGGGCAAATATTCTGAGAAAAATGCTAGAACAGCAATATGCATTGGCGATATTAATGAACACGCACGCCTTCTACAGTTCTGTGAAAAAAAAATAGGTAAAGGGTGGATTTGCAAGCAAGTGACGCTTTTAGCCGTTTATTTATGTGACATCAAAGCAAACATTTATTAAACAGTGTGGGTGAATTGGATGTGGGCAGAGACAATCTCAGTACTGGCGTGTTATCAGGGACAGTGGAGAGGTCACGATCTTCCACTAGGGCCTTGATGTTGCTCTGAAGGCAGCGGGTCTTGCTATAGCAACAGGATTAGACGGACTGATTTAATGTTTCTAGCAAACGAAAATATGAGCCTTTCATAACCTTCCTCAATACCCTTTGGATTGTAGATGTACAAATATCGCAATTGCCCTATTTAATATACTCAAGCTTCAATAGAAACTTCTAGTTTTATTCTAACAGATGCTAGCATGCAAGTACATTTAACACTTACCTACTTTCATGAACTCGGTACTTTTATTTAACAAAAAAGCACAAATTCAATTTCCCGTAATTCGAAAGCAACGAGCTAATTAGAAATGCCAGCACAAAGTTTTAACGGAAGCAGATGGGTACTGCGGATGGAAGAACGACTGCTCCTATATTAGCTATGCAAACGATATCCTCTACCGCGTTAAAGTAGTGCCGAATGAAGTAGCAGTGGAATGAAGAGCAAACAGAGTGATTTTGTTTTAAAATTTTTCAACAAAAATGGGGGCGCACTTCAAACGTATGAACGCATTAAAGAATCTAATCTTATTTGACCACATTACGGTAGTTGGTCGTCCGGCGTACAAACATTAAGTCCATTAGTCCACATGTCGTGTCACACAAAACATGGTCCATAAGTGGAAGAGGTAATGAAAAGATTCTATATGAAGCAGCTAAAATTCGAAAACAACAATACGCCACTTTTATCGCACGACAACGCTGGATCTCGCACCACAATGGCGAAAACGCAGAAGTTACATTTAGAGACTCTCTATCATCCATTATACCCGTCAGGGTCATACTTCTCTCACTGAGTATTACACCTAATATCTTGCCAACCTCTCAATGGAAAAATTATTCAAATCTCAACATAATGTCAGAACTGCCTCATAATATCTCGTATTCCTGTATGTAGAGGACTTGGAATTCTCGCGGAATAAATGATTCAAGTGGCAGAAGATCATGGATAATGGCGCATTCTTCGATTCGGTTGAAAATAAAATAACTAAGTTTGCGAAAAAGTTTGAGAAGTTAAAGTTCACTGTATGAAACAACCCAATACTATATTATCTATATGTTGTCCGCCAATGACGGTACCGTTTTCTACACGTGTACATGTAAGTTCAATCTTAAGAGAAGGCGGTATCGGATAGCATTGTTCTTTTTTAGGGGGCAAATCAGAAATGATCTTTTCTGCTAACAAACTAAATACTATATCGAGCATCTCTGCCAAGTTTACATTTAAGTGAAAATTTACTGGAACAGGTGAGGTAAACTCAAAGTTTCAAGATGACGTTCCCAGGTACTCACGTTCGGGCGCTTTATTCATACAAAAAAAGCCTTTGTGCGAAGGGTAGTACAGAAGGAACTCGTGTGAGGGGTCGAGATAGAAGCGCCGCGTCACCACCTTGGAGGCCGATACGACCTTGTGCAGAACTGTGCCTCTCTCCAGGACAAGCAACAGCTCTGGGAAATCGGCTAAGCCTGCAAGCACAGAGTGACAACAAGTACTAACGACAACAATAATAATACATTGGCAACTAACATAAACGTGAAACAACAACGCCAGTCACACAAATGCATGAGTGATAAGAACAACTGCAACATAAGGCATCAGAGCAGCTAAGGGAAACATTGAACAAACAGAGGCGAGCATTCCATTATATTTGAAAATCATCAGTAATTTGCCTCTGGGCTAAAAATTGCGACGAAATAAAAAGAAATTAAAGACAGAATGCTTAAATGTTTGTTCGTTATTTTAGTGTGTGTTACCTTTTTGTGTTAGTGCGTGGCCTTATGCACCAAGTGTAGGCTGTAAGTGGTATGAGTCATACCTTTAAGAGAGCTTAAGCTAAATTGTGAAGGCGATAAATACATTCCACGAAAAGTATCTATACATGGCTATTAAAATTCTGCCAGAAGTCTGTTAAAAGTAAAATTACTCATAAAACACCGTGTATCAGGGCCATTATTTGGAAGCATGATTGAAATTACTAAATCAGCACCAACGAATACATCTAATTAGGAATGTTTTCATTACTTCATTAATAAAGACATGGTTGTACACAGAATTACGTGTACCTAACTTAACACTCATATCGTCATACTTTCGTACTTATCTTCTCTAAGCCACGATACAAAGCAGGAAGCTATAATTACTAATAATTCTTGTATACAGAGCATCATAACAAGACCTAGGCTCGTTATTCCTTGTCTTTACTATTTCTACAAGCAAGATTGGATAAGAATGAGGGATGGATTTTTTTTTTCGTGACCTGTATCTCCATAGTGGAACATCATAATAACTGTAGTAAAGCAATGCTATGTATACATTCATTCTAGTCAGTAGCAAGTAGAGTCACTTTCCTCTAGCCGTATCCAACATACATTTAACATATGAGGTCACACTATGGTCTTGATATTTCCCTTTCGATAAACTGAACGTTAACGCCGTTTACTCCAGCTGAAGTCAACGTGACTGCGTCTTAAGCAAAGTTCCTGGCTTTCTCAGCATCCCTTGAATAAGTTTCATATTTAAGTTTAACGTTGCACGACATTAAACACCGAAACTAGCAATTGTGTTCAAATCAGTTGTAGCAGTTCTCTAACATTTCCATGTCACGCTATATACAAAAACCAGAGCAGGTTGTGTTAGGATCGCTTTGATTTCCGTCGGCTTTAATGAAGTAACGATTTCTGTGAAGTAATTAAGTTGTAGATACCCGCGCACCGCCACGTTACAGTCACTTCATCACCATCATCACAGTTGCCCTAAGGGCTAATTGTCTAAGCTAATTGCAAGAACCTGCTAGTATAGGCAGCATGGAAAAGGCATACGGAGTGAAGCAGGCCTGATGGCAATGTTTACTCCCATTATAAAATTATATAGAAAGGGAATTATTGTAGCGTGCATTAATGCTATTTAAATTTAATTCGTCGCGTTTTTTACTATTTAGTTTTAGTTTGTCAGTTACTCAGATTTGCTAAACTGTAATGTCTATTGTTAATGATGAAATATTTCGATATTTTTTACACATCCTATAGCTGAAAGTGAAGTGATATTTGTAAGGATCAGCGTAAAGAACAGGTTCTGAAGTGGCTTGCCATTTCTGCAAAAAAAGAAACCCAGAATGTTAAGTTAGTAAATTCAATGGTAACAAATTTCCCGTTTCCTTTTCTGTAAAAGTACTTTATTTTCGCTGTTTTGCATTGCCTGTAGATGAATCCCCAAATTGTTCAAATGTCTTGGCATTAAGCTATCTATAATACAATTAAGCTAAAGCCCGCCAATGTTATCCTGAAAAAAGTGATATAAAAGTGGGTAGAACGAGGAGTTTAATGAATACGAAAATTTAAAAAAAAAATA